TTTTAGATTTTCAATTTGAATAATGATGCTTCATAGCTTCTAGGAGATACTGCGAGAACTTCACCCACTTCATTACATTTGCCGAATCACCGTCCACAAAAAGACCATGAGTTTTGGCCTATTTAGAACCTAAAAATAAAAAACTAAAAGTGTTTCTTTGATAGCCAATCAATTAAGTTTCACCCACACCAATTGACTTCGTGAAAAGGATTTTGATGTCTCCTAAATCAACTCTATGCCCTTAATACTAGCCTCTCTTAGGCAACCCCTTGCCACCCCATCCATATCAAATTTGAGAATTTTATACATTGAATTTGAGAATTCTATTAGGGGTTAGCTCTTATTTCGCCTCTATTTTCGCTAAGCCACTAATTGGATTCTGAAACCAATTCGTAATCAACCTTCTCTCTTTTAGGCTACTTTAACTAGGCCCACCACGTAATTCTTAATTTAATAGTATCAACCACTTGCATAAAACCCGATGATTTTCAATAAATACCATCTCATTTTTAAAAAGTCAAATAGACCAAGTAATGAAAAAAAAAAAAAAAAAAAAAAAAAAAAAAGCCATTCACCTTATCTTTCCTTCGTTACTTGGCAAGCTCACCTCATTCCGTGCAAGAAAGTATGCAAAGGCCTCACATTGCCCAACCTAGTTTGAACCCCATTGATTGCACCACTAATACCAAATCTTTTACACTTCACCACACGTAAAGAAGAGTTGAAACTATTTTTGGTTGGATTTGGATTAAAGTGTATGCTTATGATTGTGTCATTTATGAATTTCAAAAATTTTATAGTAATGGAAGCAATTTATTCAATTTACATAAGCGAAAATTCACAATTATATATCATGTAAATTAAATAAAAATCGCATCAATATAACAGAATCAAAAGTAAAAAATATTACTTACTTTGTGTTAGAAATATATTTGATTCTTCTCTCTTAGTGAATTTTAGTAAATTCACCACCACACCAATTGTTAGAATTCTCAGCCAATTTGAATTATCACTTATTCTTCAAGAATTTTTCAAAAGGTTAGGTGTAAAATACCTTTTATGATGGTAACTAGATAATTTTCTCTCAATTTCTTCTTTGGCAAATTTTCTTTGCGTGAGGCTTATAGAAAATTGTTAGAACAAGAAGAAAACCTAGTGAGTGATGGCAGAGTTGGGTTATCTCAAAAGAGGGGTGGCTAGGGTTTTGGCTAAAATCTCATATTTAGATATGTGATTTTCGACCAATATTATGAGAGAGTTATTTCTCTCTTAAAACTCATTTTTATTAATTTAATTAATTAAAATTTAATTAATATTTGCCATCCACAATTATAATTAATAAATAATTTATTAATTATAATTGCTAGTCCATGTCAAATTAGGATTATTCTATTTTTTTATTATTCATCTTTAATTAAAAAGAATTAATAATAAAATAAAGAAATCCAAATCACATACAAAGTAATATAATTACTCATAATCACAGTTAATTATGAATAAAGAATTAAAATTTTTAATTCTTATATTTATAATTAAATATCCTCCACTATTATTTTTATTTATAAGTCAATAATTATCTTAATAAATATTTTCTATTTAAGCCAACTCTTGTCTTAAAAAATATTTCTATATTAAGACAATTTTGATTTACTAAAAATAATATGTTTAAGACAATTCATGTCCCAATCAACCCGCATATACTCATGTATAATTAAGACATTATATGCACCTTGTCTAAATTAAGACAATTCCTGTCTTAATTAAAGAGTTGTCTTAATTAAAACAACATTTAGTTATCAAATTTGAACATTAATTTGCATAAATAATTAAACACATATTCCATCTTAAACAAGTTAAATTCTGTGAAGCTAAGTGGGGAATCCCATTGAATGTAGATATTTCAAGGTCCAATAAACATTGAATTATCTCTTAATCTCATTAAAAATAATTCTAGTTTATTAACAATGGAATCAATTCATCATAGATTCACAATTACACTCTTGAATTATACACAATTACGAGAAGTATCCAATATGTAAAATTTAATATTGGTTTGTCCAATTACAAACCTTATGTTATGAATCCTCAGAGCTATCCAATAACAAAAGGTGAATTTACCATTGCCTTTTATGTCAATTTTGTCCCATAAAATGAGATTTCATCCAATTGATGATCCAATACTCAAGATTTAATATTTTGACTATTAAAATATGATGAGTAGCTGATTTATCAATCTGCTAGACCTAGATTAAATCATCAATCTTCTTGAAATCACTAGAAGTGACGTTAATATTATCAATGCATTAAGATTATCGTGCCCATGGTACATCAAAGATTATAAAGAGATAAAACATGAGTCCACCATCCATCAAGATTACGGTTCTACCATAAGTGAATGCATAAGTATGATATTAAGATTTAAAGGAACGACCTAACTTAAACTTAGATCTCACATCCAGTTCACTTTATAGTGTCATTACTCAAAGTCAACTGCTCTGATAATTTAAGACTCATCATTCTCTTGAAGTGAATCAGGTTCTTTGTGTTAGAAGTAATCTGGACATTACAATCTTAACATAATAAAGTAACCAGCTTTATTATTCAACTGTGTACTATTTTTGAACTCAATTAGAAAACACGTCTTCTATGTATGACTTTCACACAAATACGTTTTAATGTCTCAATAGAATCATACCACTTTTATAATTAAATATAAATGCTTGCTTAAAACAAATTATTAGTTTTATTATCAAAATGTACTTTCAATACAAATAAATTAAATGGAATTTAAATATGAAAATATACTTACTTTCCAGGACATTATATTCTCAAATTCTTAACATTTTCAACTCTTTGTCACACAATAGACATGTAGTAGTGATTCCATTTAACAATATTTTGTTCACTAATTCCTCTTTGATTGTTATTTTTCCCCTTCAAAATTTCTACCAAAAGATTTTGACTTTATAAGGTGTGGAACTTACCCACACCCGCTTCCAATACTCTCCTTTGACACTATTTGAGCTGAGAACACTCTTACAAAAAAGAGCTCATTAAATATTTGGCACTTGTCAAACCTTACCTTATCTTGGAAGTTAGTTCCAATGGTATGATCCTTACGGACCATGAACAAGTTGTTCCATTGATTTTCCCTACATCCCAAAAGTGTTTCTACGCAGCTCTATCTTCCAATGCCGAGTGTTGCTAACCCATTCCCCTAACTCCTTAATCATTCTGACTTTGTTAGTTGCCAAAGTATATATGTGGGGAACTTATTTTTTAGCACCATCTCATTAATCTATTTGGCTATCCAAAATAGTATATTTTTGCCATTACCAACTAACATTCCTAAACTCGATGATAGATGTTAAAAAAATTTATTTGTCAGGAAAAGCAGACTTGTTTCTCCACATGTTACAAGCTTTTCTACTTCCACTAGCCTCTAATAAAAGTTTCATTAGGTCGTCACCAATCTTCTTGACAATCAAAAATCTCTAAATATTATTTTTTTTTTCCTCTCCAAATCTCCAAATCCACTTATTCAAAAGTGCCCTATATTCAATTGTAGACTATCATATCTAGACCCTCCAAATAGTGGTGAATAGTCCATGTTCAAACTCACAAACTTATAAATCTCTTTTAAAGAATAAGGTATGTTTTAATAGTGAGTTACAAAGAAGAGAGTAAAATAAAAATAAAAGAACAAAAGAGAAGAGAAAGAGTAACAAAATAGAGGGAGAAAGAGGTGTGAATAAACTTAATCAAGGTAAAGTTGATTAGGGCTTGTAAGGTCATTTTATTATTTATTATTTATATTAATTATTAAATAAAAAATTTATTTTGAGGAAAATTAAAATATATATAATAAATAAATAAATTTAAAATTTTTGGAGAGCCATGACCTCCATAAAAATACTGCTCTCCAAGATTTTTAAAAAATATATATAATAACTAAAAATTTTCAAGGGGCTGTGACCCCATAGCAATATGGCCCTCCGGCCGTGTAGATAGCATAGTGACGAGTGCATCTTCCTCTGGTTCTAATGTAGAGAAACCCTAATTTTAGAGTTATTTTGGTGTAGACTTTAGGGAAAAATTATGAGAAAGAAAGAGAGAAAAAAGAAACCAAACACGTATTAATTAATAATGATTCAAAAGGACATGTGACAATTTTGTGAGAATTGAGGTAGAGAGTGAGACAGGAAATGGGGACAGACGATTTGGATTTTGTTTGTATTGTCCGTTGAAATTAAGCTTATAAATTTCCTTTGATATGGTTGGTGCATATATTGAGGTGATGCGTTTGATACCATAATGAGATGTGTAATCTTGTAAAGCTTAAATTTTATCAATAAAATTATTATATTAATTGAGAAATATTTATACATATATATTATTCTTAATAAAATAATAGTGCATATCGATACAAGTTAGATTCTATTATTAATTATCCCTTTTTGTTCAAATTGAAGTTGGATTTTAATTGAACCAAAAAAAAAAGATAAGATTAATTTAACACTAAATCCTAAAGTGAATGTTGCTAAATAATAAATGTATTTGCCTTTTAAGTGAGTGTCAAGAAGAGAAACCTTTTATTTACAATTTATGGCATTGGCTTTAAGTTTCCTTTAAAGGTTAAGGCAATATTTGGTTAACAGTTACGTCCACGTCAGACTTCTTTAAATTGTTTTGGTTCTTTTGGTGCTTGATTTGCAGCTTTTACATTGCAATAAATTACTTCATTATTATTCCTTATTTATGGAATACTTAAAATGGTGTCAAAGGTTTAGATTATTTTCCAAAACCAATTCACTTTTCTGTAAAATTTCTTTTTAATATTATCTTGAATTTTTTTACTTCTTACTCTTCATTTTCTACCCTAAAATCACATAACAAGAAGAAAAAGGTGAAACAATAGTTGTTGACGTAAAATTGCCTAGGCCTATATAAATACCGCCCATCTCGCTCATTTGCTTGCATAATACATTCAGCTTCACACCATGCTGATCGCGCTAGTTTTCACAATTCTCTTGCTCTTGTCCTTCCCAGTCTATTTCGTTTACCTTCTCCGTCGCTGTCTGCCCTCTTTCATTCGTGAATCAACCATATGCAGCCATGTAATTCTCATCGCAACGCATTTGGAATGGGCACTTGATTTCATGCTTTGCTATTGCCTATTCCCAAGGTACAATTTCGCTCCGAACAAGCCAGAAATTGGTGCCGGGGGGCCAAGTGCACGCGACTACGAGTGGAAGCGAGCAGCGCCGACCGATGTTGGTGAATGCCCCGTCTGCCTATTCAAGGTTGAAGAAGGCGAGGCAATTGGTCAGTTGAGATGCGGTCATGTTTTTCACAGGCTTTGCTTGGAGACATGGATCGGATACTGGAACGTTATGTGTCCCCTTTGCCGAGGTTCTGTAGCCCCAGCCAGATTGGATTCTGAACTCGGCAGGGAAGTTGTTGCTTTCGACTTTTGCTCTCTCAGTTCTCGTGACCGCGGTAGATGGTAGCTCCGTTAATAAAACCAAGTGACAGTGTGGAATCATGCTATTGCTTATTGCCTGGTCCTAAACGGCTAGATTACTGGATTTTCAATCTGTTTACTTTGGTATCCCATTGTTGCTCAGGTGTCCTGTATTCTAGCAAATGTTAGGAGTTAATAAATCAGCTTTAAAATCATTTCAGCATCTAGTTTTTATGCATCTATCATATATGCATCCGTGGTAGACAATTTTTCATTCACAAGTGATGAAATTTAAAAGTTTCGCGGGAATTTTAAATATCGTGCGTCTATTTAAATATGATAAATTAAATATTTACTTTTTTTATTAATTTTTTATATATTTAAATTCGATAAATATTAGTGAATACTTTATAGATAAATAAGTACTTATAATATCGACATCGATCTACTTTCGCAACTATCATAAGTATTACAAGAGTCTTTTCATTTACACTTGATAAAATTTAATAATTTCTCAAAAATCTTTTACATCATGGGTCTATTTAAGGATGACAAATTGTTTAATTTTTTGTTTCTTTTTTTATACGTGGAAATTCATCAAATGTAAATGAATGTTGTACAAATGGCCAGATGCTTATGAATCATGTTTTAAGAAAGACTTATCATATTCGGTAAAGTAATTAATCATGAATCAAATAATTTTGAATATATAAAATGAACACATTCCATTAAATGGTAACAAATATCCTTTACTTTGAAAATACAAAAACAAGTATATGACAATGTCAGCAAACTTTTTTACTATGAAAAGAAAAAAGATAACCAACACTATTAGCGTCATGTTTAAACTTATAACTGGTTATTTTTATTATTATTTAGTCATGTATAGAACTACACTATTTACTCCATATGTGAGCCGTAGTGAAGAGGAAGGTACAGGCCATCCCCCCTAACCCTTCCCCTTTCCTTTATAGTTTTTATATATGTATAGATAGTAGGTTTTCTATTTATAATTCAATTTTGAAAGTGAAGTCGAAGTTTATGGAATAACAGGGTTCCCTGCATCGGATAATTCTAGGTTGTTGCTTGGCTTGTGGTGCTTGAGCTATATATATATTAAGCACGCTTCAACAGGATGAAAACCTTATTGAAATTGCAATGGAGGATAAGAAAAAACCCTTGACAGTGCTATAATATTTGTATGAGCACGGAGAGCAAGAATAACTAGTAGTAAACGCTTTAAATGCATGGACCAATATTGAATATGTTAGGTTAGGGTACTCGTTGCACTCTTTTACCAGGGAAGCAGGATATCTGGATATTCATTCTTAACATTGTCTTCTAGTCCCACTTGACAATGTACTTTGCATAAATCAGATATGGTAGTAAGAAACGATGTTATCGGATATATGCAACAACATTTGTCTTGCTTCTTCAAGGGATTGTAACCCTATCGGGCAACCACGTTCATTTACTCAAATACTTAAATTACTGCTCCATCGCTCTCTTTTGTGAAACTGGTCTTCCTAGGAATCGATAAAAGTTGAAAACAGAGTACAGGAAATTGGAAATTGGACGCTCTAATTTTGATGGGTGAGAGCGATTGCATGGTAAAATAATTACAAGTGCAAAATACAGGAACACTGTCCAGCAACTTTGAGCACAATGGGATGATATTTGTGCCACAAAGAAACCTATGATCAACTTCCATTTCATCTCCAATAACTAATCTCTTCAGAAGGCCCATTAGTGTTGCAGAACATTTTTTAGGTTTCTGCAGCAAAGCTATTTTTGCATATATTTTATAGCTCAAGATAAAATAGTTTTCTATGTCATCAATCCCACATCTTATTATGAAACGAATCTTGAATATATGAAACACGAATCTTCCACCATTATCAAATATATTTTTTTGAATTAAAAATATGAACTCATAATTTATAAATTTATAACTACACGAGATTGGGGGCAACAAAGCAAACCTGTCGGTTTGTACACCAAAGCCAACCTGGAGATGCATTTGTGTTTGAAAGTCGGTTTGTTTAGTGGTACGACTTGGTTTAGTTAAACGACTAGTAAATGCGCCATAATGAAACGTTTGTTACTTTGTCGTTTAAGTCCTTCAATTGTCTGTTTACTTCTACAGACCTGGATTTGGTGTTTTATGTTATTCAATTCAGTTAGATTCTTTAACAATCCCGATTCATGGGGCTTAGTTAGTTGTATGTCGTTGAAGTATAAGTGCTCAGACTGAAATGAAAATGTGAAAAACAATTTATAATTTTTTTTTTCAATTTTTCTCTTGTTTTCTTTCAAGAAAATTTTTAAATTTCATAACCAAAACATATGATATCAAAATAAAAATGATATCAAAACAAACTCGAATTTTTACTGATGTGAGATTTCATGAGAGATATAAAAATTGAGAAAAAGCCACTAATATAAGAATCTCTCTCCTTTACAAATGACAAGTTAATACAACAAAAATATTGTATAATTAAATGAAATAAAATATTATACATATCATATCAATAAAAAATAAAATAAATTTTAAATATATAAAATATAAATTTTTCACCACCTATCAAATATATCTTTTTCAGTTAAAAATATAAATTTATAATTTATAAATTTATTACACAAGATTAAACTTAAATTTCAACGCATTTACTGTAATTTTGTACTCTATTCTCTCAGAAACTACTGGCACGTTTGGATAATAAAATTTTGTTTAACCCGAAAAATATTCCTCTTGAATTTTGTGGGAGGGAACCGGTCGTCAATATCCACTTCCCAAACACACTGTTCAAGTCCCAGAAAATCGATTTCAGTCCGAAACATTGGCCCAAAAGAAAAGGCACAAACATAGTAACCATAAAGATGTGGCCTTCCCAACTTGAACGATTATATATGCTTGAGAATATCTCTTCCAAGATGCATCCAAATTTAGTGAAGATAAAACATTGGTGTATAGCCTAAGCTTCTGATATCCCCGCACATAGCTACAACCTAGTGAATTGGTATGAGGAATCATAAAGAGAAATGAAATGGAAATTTTACAATTACAGCAGGGCCAAAGAGGGTGGAAAAGGTGGGAAAAATAATGAAACAGATGCGAAGAGAATTTGTGGGGTGGAACATACTGAGAGCTGCTATGATTTCCTCTTCCAGAAGTAGACTTGTAGCGTAGTGCATGTGTGAGAATAACAGGTGCTAGACTATTCAGGAGCTTGATTTGGTAAAGTTAGTAGAGTCTTTCTAAATACATGTTTTCTGCAACGTTCAAAAATGCTGTCATATATCAGATCAAATTGAACGCCTGCTCTTTCCCTATTCACAATGAACAATATGTGATCTGCCTCTACAATCTTGTAATACCTGCAATGAACAATGCAATTGTAAGTCAATTTAGAGAAGCATTTTAACAATGGCAGAAGGGAGCAAATATTTTTAATGCAAATACAAGCCATTATCTGTCAATAGGTTTATTATTATCATCATAAAATTTGGCTGTTTTCTGGATGCTGCTTCTAAAATTTCCACATTAACTAGATGGTTTTCTTCAAAATGATTCTGTAAGACATAATTGGTGATCCTACCTTACTCAGGCCTTGCATGTTTGTTTTCATTTGTTTTGTTTAACACTAGCAATAAAGAATGATAACATTCTCAATTCAAGACAGAGTAACAAAAAGGCACTGTCAAAATAGCATTCAATTTATCAACAGAAATTACTGGAATTGAACCCATCTGCCTGATATGCAAGTGGTTTTGGGCAAGTTTGAACAATAAATTCAATCATCCCCCAAAGGCATCTAGTTCAAAAATCTTTATGTTTCTAACTAGCAGTGTAGAACTATCAACTTTCTGATTTAAACAACATTGTACCAATGCAAATACCTGTACTATAATTCCATGAAAGCAATTATAATAATGCACGAGGATGGACCATCTCTACTCAGGTAGGAACAACTAATCCAATCAAAGCAAGTTGTGAAAGAGAACGGTTTTACAATTAAAATTTATAATCAAATTCATCATCACCATTTTATTAGTACCTCGAGCAGGTTAATTTAGTGGAAATGAGCAATACTAACCATATGCCTGGCTGCAAGGGTAGGCACTCCGAATCATTCACAACAAAATGGCTTGGATGCTCAATTGGAAAACGAGGGTGAGTCATGGATATCATGTTGAGAGCTCCATCATTGTCCTGCCAATCTTCATCCCTGCACATTTTATTTATTAGACATGAGTAGGATGTCAGTAGATTCAAGCTAAAAGTTCCCAAAACTTTCATACTCAAACAATTGTTCAAACTTTATCTGAAAACAGTAGTTTCAAATCAATATGACAATTCTAATTTCTAAATTTTGAATATACATGCAATCCGTAGAGGAAAGCGATATTTGGAAAATTTAGAGATTTTGCAAGGCATTCTTGGTGATACAATGACAATTGTTTTAGGGCAAGTGGACATGTGGTCCAAGTTCCGATGTCTAATAAAATAAAAATCTATTCAGGAGACTCTCTAAAGACATCAACATGCTGTCAAACTTAAAGCCTCGAGCAATCAAATAAAAGCAACCACAGAATTTTTATATGAAGAAGCTGATGTACCAATATATGCTGTTTAGACGCACCTGTAGCCTTTATAAGGGGGAGAAACATCTGGAGGATGACGCCACTGGCTCATCTGTAGTACTCGTAGAAAAAGCAAAGAGTGTATACCAAGAATACCAGAAGGAACTGTGACACCGAGGATCTTCCTTGTACGCTTGGTAGCATAGCTGAAGTAGAAAGTGTTAGGAAATGTTTGTAGATGGCAATTCAGTCTTATTGACCCTTGAATTGTAAGATCAGGGAGGATCCAGTCTCCCGTAGCAAACGGCCCCGCATTACCCAAGAGGCAGTCGACCAGACCCCAAAGACCCACTTTTTTCCATGACGTGTTAAAGTGATCGAACCCAAAATTGTAGTATGCCTTTAGCCAGGGGATATCCAACCAATCATAAATTATGACTCCTACGCGGCACAGCTGCAGTA